GAAGTTCTTTAGGATCTTTTTTTGCAGATTTGTACTTCTTTGTATACATTTTTTATATATATTTTTTCATTATTATTATTTTTATTTATTTTTTTTTACCAATTTTCATTTATTTTAAACAACAAAACTTACTTAAATTTATAATCATTGTTACAGTTTACTAGTAGTACTATCATTGGCCATGTATAATTATTAACGTTTATCAGTTTACATCTCTATAATTTTAATTTTCTATAAACAACAACAAAACCTATTTAAATCATTCTCAGTTCTATGTAAAAAAAATATTTATTATCTTCTAACTAGTAAAACACTGCAAAGGATTGGGGGTAAAATTGTTTTGGTAATTTTATTTATTTTTTCTTTTTTTGCAGTAAAAGTTTTTGTTTCATCGAGCAGGTGGGGTTGATCAATTAGAAGGACACTTATTTTTTTCAGGAAACATTTTTTTTTTTTTTTTTTAGTTTGTTTTATAATAAATAAAAACATTTGTTCAAATTTCACCTGCAGTTGCACTTTTCATGCACCAGGGGAGCGCAAGGGAGCAAGGTCCTAGCCCCTCCCATATGACGTCCCCCCGCATCCTGGCCCTCCCACATCCTGCCCAGTCCCCCTCCCCACTGCCCCACCCTGCCATCTGGTGCTTTTCACACAATGGCGTGCCCGTGGACACATGCACGCACGCACACACTGTCGGGAATCTTTTCTCCTCATTTCCTTTCACAGTGGAAAAACAGGATGAAGGGGCTCTTTCAGCCTTCAGGTTACCCTGGAAACTCCTTTATTCTTCTCCTGTCAAACTCTTACGTCGCAACACCAACACTTCTATATAGAGTGACAGAATGGAAGTTTAAAGTTTAAAGGGACCAGAGCAACAGCTGTCTCTCTGTCTGCCATGTTGACACAAAGAGCAGCTTTTCCCCTTATTTTTTTAATGTTTCTTCTTTGTCTTTCTTCTCAGTTTTAATAGTTTTACACTTCTAAACCAAAACTATGTGAAGTTCTTTATAAGTTTCCATGAAATACCAAAGATTTGGCACAGGATCTGTGTATGTATGTGTGTTTTTCTTTCTCTGGAACACATTCAGAAGCTTTTTTTTTTTTTTCCCCCCAAAGAACTTTTCAGCTCAGGAATATTGATGTTTAAACTCAACTCCCTCTTCTCAGTTTCTGTTTAGACAGCTTCCAGACCTGGAATTCAGAATGGAAAAAGTTAGTTTGGTATTATATAAAGTTAATGTGAGTGTTTTCTTCCATCGTGCCACAAGGGGGCCCATGGAAAACTCTTGATGCTACAAATATACAATGAAACACATCATCTGTAAGCTTTTAGTGGGTTAAAAATAAACCACTGGGCTTTACAAACAGGGAGTGGTGATGAGAGGATGAATAGGCTACATGAAAAGGCTGAAAAAGCCATAGTGAGGAGCAAAGGTTTTGCTTTATGAAAGAGGGATGAAACTTCTTTTGAGTGCATGCTTTAGGTTCAGCTTGGCCAGATATGAAAGAGTTTTACGTTCTTTTTAATTTCTTTGTTCGTCTCTCTTTCTACCCCTCCTTTTCTTTCTACATTTCTTTTTCTTTTATGTTTCAACTAAGCCTGGCTACACATCACTCTCTCCACTCCACATTTTTGTCCTTTTAAGGAGTGAGGGAATGAGAATGGACAGCTAGCTGAAATGGGGTGAAGGACACACTCTGAGCTCACTAACTGATAAACAGACTCCTCTTTGTGCAGGCGGACACACAAACACTGACGCACAGTTTGTTACGTATTGACAAAATTCCCATCATGACTTGATTCTGCTGAAACCCCCCCCTCCTTTTCATGTCTTCTTCAACTTTCTGCATTTTTTTGGTCTCTCCACATAATTAAAAGCAGATGTCAGCAATGGAAGAATTTCTACCATGACACACACATGCACACTCACACACACACGCACGCACGCACGCACGCAGACGCACACACAGACACACGATGCCAAGCAGCTGTCGAGGGGAGAAGAAGGTGGGGGTGTTCCAGGAAAGGAGGATTGTGTGTCCGCCTGTGTTGAAGCAAAATTGGTTTGTTTTTACAATAAAACCTGTTTTTTCGTTGACTATAAACAAAACAGACTATAAAAACATTTCTGTCATGTGTTTTCAACTCTCCACAGTTGTTTTGTGCTGGAAATGTTTGTGTGCGCGCGCGTCTGGTCAGACATGTGTTCTGCCTCCATCATCTTTCTTTCCTCCCCCACTATGACTAAGTGTAACAGGATGCAGTGCTCTGTAGTCGCCGCCAGAGGTGCCATCGGCTCATAAATGAAAAGCCCTTGTACATGTAGACACCACGGAGCAGCCATTTTACAGTCTGCACACCAGACCCCATTTTATGAATCAACTATGATGTCAACACAGCTCAGGCTGATTCTATTGGCTAAAGCGCAGCCCGAGCTTTAGCTCTGTACATCCACACATATGCTTCAGTTCTGTCTCTCTCTGAGACACACACACTGACCCACTGACATGATGCTTCCTCTGGGTCACCAGTCCTGCTCGGAGGGATTTTGTACTATCCTAAGTCTGTGGTGTATAGTTAGGCCTCTCACAATAATACATTTTGCTGGATAATAAATTGTCCCAGAAGTTATTGCGACGGAGTATAATATTGCTGTTTGGAGAGTATTTTAAAGTAATATAATGTAACAGCACATTCTCAAAGATTAATAAACATTAAATTCTGATGAACATTTAACACTGGACCTGAAGAGACATTTTTTAAATATTCAAAATAAATAAAACAGAAAAAAATGAAGTCTTTTTAAACAAAATTGTCTTTCAAAAATAATGCTAATTTACATCAATTAATCAAATTGAAAACTTTTTGTCATCCAATTTTGGTAGAAAGAGGGAGAAAATGGACAAGTCATGGAATTGGAAATTGTTGAGCCTGTTTTAATACATCATGCGACTTATTGCTTGTTGCAAAAGGCCTAGCTATAGTTTTTACTTTTCTGACAGATTTGCTGAAACATGGTTACTGTTGAATTATGTAAATTTCCCTACTTCTGTTTGTAGAAATGCTTTGTCTCCAATTTTGTGTCTTGTAGAAGTGAAAATTGGTTTAGAGACATAGATTTTTTTTTAAATCTCATCTCTCCTCTTCCTGTAATATGTTCAGCTGTGGCTTGTTGTGGCTATGTGTTTGTGCAAAGATGTTATTTCCTCAATGATGTGTGGATTTTCCTATCCTGTGTCTATATTGGCTACCTTCCTGTCTTAGTTTCCTGCAGGGATTGAGAAGTATTGGATACACAATAGTGCTTTATATGGTAATCATGCACACAGGTGGCTGTTTTCATAATCCCAAATATACTAAAACAATGAAAATTGTTTGTTGAAAGGTTCTTGTTATCTCTGAGATTAATTTTATAAAGTGGAAGCTACTGCTGAGGCAAAAGATCTTAAACCCAGTGACACACTCTTCTCTCTGTGTGTGTGTGTGTGTGTCTAAATGAGGACATGGTGTCCTCATTAGGACCATTGGCAGTTCACAGACGGTTGAACTGACTGCTGTCTCTCATTCTGACAGAGGACTCTTTGACCGGACTTGTGGATGGATCAGTGGATGAATAGAGTTGTTATCCTGTGGCAATTATGTGACTGTGTAGTGACTGCTGACACTTCCACTGTTTGAATCAGGCCTCTTCAATAAACTGTGCACCATGATAATGAAGAAATTAATGCATATAGGCTGCACAAAAAGCAGGTTTGGTGTTATGTTGCTAATAACACAAGTGAAAATAGATTTTTTTTTGTACAAGTTGCAATACTTTGCTTTAGTAGTACTTTACATTATGGTGTAGAAGCACCATAAAGGATAGCTATAGGGTCATCCTGACCAGCAGTGCTCTAGAAGTTCTCACTTAACAAGAACTAGTTCTAAGGTCAGTTTAAAGAGCTTAAAACAGAGAAAGTACATGACAACATTTAACCACCTAAACATTCTGGCCTGAATTCAGTCCCAACATGAGATGGTTTAAAATCATGTCATCGATATTCAATTTGAATCTAAATTGTGTCCTCATCTAGCATTTACATTCTGGCCTTCACGCTTAAAATGTTGTGTGTGGTGGCAGAATTCCCCATAAAGCCGCTCTCATCTACTCACTTAGCGATAAACCAAAACTTAGATGCGAGATCAGCCATTTTTTATCATCACAGAAATCATCATTGGTGCAGAAAAGCATGGGCGGCTTAATAGTTTTTACTTTGAGTCCTTAAACTTTTGAGGCGTGGTCAGTTCTGTGATCATAAATTAATAAGCAGTGATTGATTAGATATTTCCTGACAGGAACAGCAGGACAGCTGTTCCTGCTGTTCACAGAACTTAGTCACAGAACTCTAAGGTCAGCAGAGTTCTGTGACATCCAGAACTCTGCTGACCTTAGACCCAATGTGCCTGGAAACAGCAAGCTGTTATGTGACCAAAGCCCACGTGACTGTTCATCTTTCACTCCTAATTCTCATCCAGTTCATATCCACCCCCACACTGACACATCCTTACAGTCACAACTCTGACCTTGTCAGAACCAGTTAATCTAAAGTGTCTCTTCTCGGTGTTTGTGTGTGTGTGTGTGTGTGCAGATGCATAAGTTTAATGCAATCTCTGAATGCCCCACAGTAAGCAGATGTCTGGCCACGTTTAAAAAGCCCAAGCTCAACGGAGACGTTACCCACATTTTTAAGCCATTTCATGTTAGTTTGGTATTACCCGGGGCAGCTCAAACAAAAATCCAACACCTCAGTGACATCATACAGTTGGACGAGAGTGAAAACGGCAAAGGCCGTACCAACGCTGTCACTTTTAATATGCATCACACAGGCATTGTGATGCATATTAATCTAGCGGTTTTTATCCTTTAGCAATACTTATTGTACACCTATTGAGGCCCCACAGTCGCCTTATATGAACAAGAAAGTTTGAATGTCCTCTTCTTTTCTTTTCTCTTCTCCAGTTAAAAAAGACCAGGATGGTGGACAGGAAAAACAGACACAGAAGAAGAAGGTGAAGGAGCTAAAGGTTCTTGATTCGAAGTCCTCACAGAATCTCTGTAAGTCACTTATACAGAAAAAAAAAAAAAACAATAATGTAGAAGTATTTTCTTTTGTTTTTGTTCATGAGGCAATGTTTTTCATTGTGTCTTATTCACGTAGCGATTTTCCTGGGGTCATTCCGTCTTCCTTACGAGGAGATCAAGAATGCAATCTTACAAGTCAATGAGAAGATTCTCACAGAGTCCATGGTTCAGGTACCAAGATCAGTCTACCAAAGAGGTCAAAGGTTATGTTTAGGTTTCCACTTTTTATGCAACTTTCCCTCTTAGTCAAAACAAAGAGGGGGAAGCTACATCTCTCTGTAGGTTTTATTTTATATTTTTAAAAGAAAGTTACCTTGTCTTTTAAAAATTATATACAACAGGATGCAGTTATATAGGAATCTAAACTCTACATGTTTATTCATTTAATTAATTTTCTATTTTCTCCATGTCTCAGTCTATTTTATAAATAGTCAGACATGCATTAGTAAAGTAGTAGCTTCAGGCATACATGAATTTAATCTTCCGTTTTGGTCTCTGTATCACATAGAACCTGATAAAACAGCTTCCGGGTCCTGAGCAGCTAAGTGTTCTTGGAGAGATGAAGGATGAGTACGACGATCTGGCTGAGTCTGAACAGTTTGGAGTAGTGGTAAGAAATTGTCATCACGCACAAATGCAAATAAATATGAAACACAAGATATGTGCATATTCCCACATATTAAGGTATATTTGGTGTTTGAACTCTTAAAATAAGCAGATATAAACGTTTTCAGAGGGAGTCTCATGTATTTCTGGGTTTTAGCTATTCAGAGCGGCTGTGATCCCTAACCGTGAATACTGGGGTCTACTGAATTATACAAAGCTGTTTTGTTTTTGTGAACAGCCTAAATGGCAACTGGTTTAAGTATCCAAATGTTCTGGACCTACTAGTTTAATTCACATGTATATATATGCGATGACTGAGCCCAAACATGCCAGGAACATTGGTTTGACATCAACCGAGATTTAAAATGTTGAGACTGAGCACTGCCAGTGTACGGGGACACAAAATATTCTCATGCCCCCAAAGAAAGCTTGTATTGTTCAGCTGTCTTAGATCGACTGTTACTAATTCACATCTGTGTTAACACACACACTCATTCACATACTGGCAACCACTGCACCAAGAAGGGCCCTCTAATCCTCCATACTCTGGTTTCTCCAGATGTCCAATGTGAAGCGACTGATGCCACGGCTTCAGGCCATCCAGTTCAAGCTGCAGTTTGAGGAGCAGCAGAACAACATCAAGCCAGATGTGGTGGCTGTGACGGCTGCCTGTGAAGAGCTCAGGAATAGCAACACATTTGCCAAGCTGCTGCAGATCATCCTTCTAGTTGGGAACTACATGAATTCCGGCTCTCGAAATGGAGCCGCATTCGGCTTCTCCATATCCTATTTGTGCAAGGTGAAGAATAGATATGTTATTAAGGAGGGAAATGGATACTTATCCTCAAGAGGACTTTAATGTGGAAATACTGAACAATGACCTGAATAATGGACTGTTATGCATTGTGCTTTCTTTGCAAAACTGTTAATACCCCTTTTGTCATGTTATGTTACACCCACTAGCATTTTCTTTTTGATGTCATAAACCAACACAAATTATTTTTTTTATCAACAAAAGAACTGAAAAGTGTGGAATCAATTTATATATCAGTGCTTTGCAGAACCCACTTTTTCTGCAATTAAAGCCATGAATAGCTTTGGCTTTCTCTGCCCCATTTCCACATGAAATGACCTACTGAGAATTCAAACTGAGAAGCATCTCCCCCCTAAAACATATCCCATGCTTCCTTACCCGATGTACTTCACATCTCTTTTTGCACTTCCCAATACACCTTTTTTTTCTTCCTGCACCATCATCCTGCTACCTCTAACCAAGCCTAACTAGTTTTCTTCTATGTAGCTTATTGTTAGCTTTAATTTTAGATGAATTGTTATATGTTCATTTGTAAGTTGCTTTAGATAACAGACGTCTCCCAAATATATAAACATAATTTTCAATTTCTTGCCACAAATTCTCATTTGGATTTAGGTCTGGGCTTGGACTCGGCCACTCTAACTGATGCATTTGCATCTAGAACAAAAGTTAAGAAAATAGAAATAACCTTTATTGTCCCTAAGTGGGGAAATTCACGTCTAACTGCAACTGAATTTGACATGTCATCTGTTTTTTTGTTTTGTTTTGTTTTTTTTTTGACTCATTTATTTTTCTGCAAAGTCCATCCAAAGAAACATGTTGCCGATGAGGATCATCTAGATCCTAATCAGCTCTGGATTTAGCTCTATATTTGATAATGAAGGGAGCAGAATACACATGCATGCCACACTTCTCAGATCATCACATAAGATGCAATGCACTAAAATTCTGGAGATATGAATAATAGTCATGTCTCTAACACTAATTTGGCATTAATTTCATCAGCCAAATAATTTTATACAATTCATTGATAGTGATAGTAAATATTCAAAATTGTAATAGTGTGTTAAGTAATTTATCTGGTTTCAGTGTCTACATCCTGTTGTCTTTGACGCTCATAGTCAGACTTAGGAAAGCAGAAAACATTTGATGTTGGATTGATTTTCCCATGTGATCTTTTTAAAAATCTTTTCTGTTTTCCATTAGCTGCGCGACACCAAGTCAGCTGATCTGAAGCAGACACTGCTCCACTTTCTTGCCGATGTTTGCAATGAGCAGCATCCTGATGTCATGAAATTTCCTGAAGAGCTTATTCATGTGGAAAAGGCCAGCAGAGGTAAATGGGACACTCAGCCTTTAATCTAATCCAGTTTAAGCAATTACCTATCCACTTCACCTGGTTTTACCTTCAAGACGTGTATTTAAGATGGATGAGGCTGCATTTTTTTTTTACTGTAATCTTTATGTAATAAATATTTTGAGATTTTAAATGCCATATAACTTATAAATGATGATTCAGCTGTACATCCATAGTCAGAAATGTGTGAGAATGATTTCAGTACTTAAAGCTTGTTATTATTAGCATATATTGAATATTTCTAATGCAATTTGATGTGGTCATATTACAGTCTTGACATATTTCTTTTGTCATGCAGTTTCTGCAGAGACAATTCAGAAGAATTTGGAGCAAATGGGGCGTCAGATCAAAAGCCTACAGAAAGATCTGGAAACTTTCCCTCCTGCACAAAATGAAAATGACCATTTTGTGGACAAGATGTCTATATCCTTTGTCTATCTGATATAACACCAGTATTCTTATAAGAAAAAAACACAACTAATTTTGTATTATTTCAACGACCAGCTGACTATGATGTGAGTTTTATGTACCTTAACTGTATGTTTTCACAGTTTTGTAACCTACGCTCAAGAACAGTATGAGAAACTGGATGGGATGCATAAAAATATGGAGAAGCAGTACACTGAACTTGGAGACTACTTTGTCTTTGATCCAAGAAAGATGTCAGTGGAGGAGTTCTTTGGAGACCTCCACAACTTCATAACCATGTTCCAGGTGTGTGCTTGGGGGAAAAAAAATGGTTGTTTTAGTTTAAATACTGAAATCTTTACAGATGGTGTGTAGAAATGGAGTTTGAAATATGTTATAGATGACAGGCAATTAAAACCAGACTTCAATCATGTCAGTTTATTCTGTGTTTTAACAGTAAATTTGTCTCGGGAACCTTTTACTTGTTTTACCTGCAACAGGTTGTAACCATCAGTCTCTGCTTTTGAAGTTTTATTTACATTTCACACTCTCTCCAGATGCATCTTTTACTGATGATTCACAAACTTGAAATACTTCTTTCTACAGTTGCACTGTCTTAGTTATATTTGCTGTGTTTTTGTTTTCTTCCTCCTTACAGCAAGCGGTGAAAGAGAACCAGAAGAGGAAGGAAGCTGAAGAGAAGATCAGGAAGGCCAAGCTGGCTAGAGAAAAAGCAGAGAAGGAGAAAGAGGAGAAACTGAAAAGAAGCCAGCTTCCCGACATCAACGCAGGTCATGACTGCAGAGCCATTTGTTTTTACCCATTTGTGACTGAAGCAGACTCACACAATCCACATCTCTCAATTTGTATTTCTCTCACATTCCAGTTGGGGGCAGTCAGAGTCCACACTTCTGTGTAAAATGTTTGTGTGCAGATGATGAAGCCTTCCGTATTTATAGACCAGAGTTAATCTGATGTTGATGACTTGTTTTGAAGCAACGAACAATGAAGCTTCAGATAAAGTGAGGACACGGAGGTGGATTCAAGTAACTGCTTGACCCTGTTTCACGCCTCTAAAGTTTTGGGGGATTTTCTTTCATGAAAGAAATGTAGTTTTAAAAAAAGCAACTTAAATCTCTTTATCAGCATATACAGATTTCCAGCCTTTTATTTGATGCTAAAAAATGCTCTTAGCGTATTGCCCCATGTAATACAACCCACCGCTCTCATCCCTGCATGCACAGAGTTGGCACTCAAATCCTGCCTTGCAGACACACATTTATGCACAGAGACTTTTCCCCCTCTTTCAGGCTGTGACCTACTTTTAGTACATTCCTCCTCTTTCTGGCTCCATTTGGGTTTTCCAGAGACTCTGCACTTTCAGGGTCAAACTTTTTACAGCCTCAGTGCATTTCATCTAGTGACTGATTCTGTTTTGCTTTGCTCATGTGCTAAAAAGAACTCTGATGGTTAATATGAGTTGTTTCTTTTTGTGTTTGTAGCTTAACAAAAGTTTTTTTTATGGAGTTTGACCTTCTCCTCCATGTCCCATCTGGCATGTCTTTTTTTTTTTCTTCTTTTTTTTCCTGACTCCTATTTATTTTTCTGCCATTCATTCAAATTGCACTTTTCTGGATATATTGTTTCATCCATGTTGAAAAACTTGAAACATTTGTTGCTGATAGTGATTACATTTCATGGTCATCCTCTGGAGGCTCAAACTATAGTAACTTTTTAGAACTTGAAAGATAAGCACAAAAGTGTGTGAGTGAGGGATCATTTACATACAGGTGGCCTGTAGCCTGGAGTCATTCGACACCCCCTATTTGAATTCAACCATACACAAATCAGTCTGATGTCTGCACACCTGCTCTTTGTTTTGCATTTGTTTATTACCCTCATACTAAAATTGAGTTGAACAAAGTGTCCTTTCAGCAGCTGGCCTTTAACACGCTGATATCTCTCTGCTTTTATTTGTTCCTCCTCTCTGCTCACATACTGTCACTATCTCATGATTTCACTTATGTCTTTTTTTGGTCTCTGTGCGTAAATGCCAAATCCCAAATGCTTGTAAAAACCCTGGAAAAAGGTCAGTGTGTGTTTGCAGTTTGTGGCCTTCTCATTCCTACGTGCCTCAGTATGCACGTGTTTAAACACATGATGATGGTTTCTATGAGCTGCTATGAATGGCTCATTCTTCAGGGAGTCTGTGAAGGCTATAGCACCTCACATACTTACATTTTCTAATCATGTGTTTTGACTATATCTGAAGGTCCTGGAGGGTCAGGATGGTGAACAGGGTCAGGAGTTTGATGGCACACCCAAAGGTTCACATTCTCCATCTGGACTTCAAATGTGACGTTTGCACTCATTAGATCTGACTGCTGCTGTACCGTATATTTACAACTAGATGTCAGTGGTGTCCGCAAAAGGCTGTTGGAGGCTGCGTGTTCTCATAAAGGGTGGGAGGTTTGAACAAATTCAAGTGCTGGTATGGGAACTGCCACTGGGAGTGCTCGCACTCCACACATGGAGTGAGCAGAGCAGCAATGAGGTGTGTGGGGGAGGGGATGGAGGAGAGCAGGGCAGCAGCAGATGGTTTGCTGCGGATTAGGCTGTGTTGTTGTCGCTTTGAAAAGAGGGTAAGATGAAGATGGGAGAAAAGCATGAGATATGAGAGGATGAAATGGGATAAGCCTGGCTTGCCTCACACTGGGATGCTGTGAAAGAGGGATTCTGTTTTAGCACATTAGGAAAATAAAAATCCTGTCTCAGTCTCTCAGCTGTCGTGTTTTTCTCAATATGTCATATTCTTTGTTTACAGTCTACTTCATTTAGTAAATTATGTCATTAATATTCTCATTAGCAACTGTGTGAACATCCACTAGAGGTGCTGTTGCTTCACAAAAGACCCTGTGCAATGTGTATGAGGATACGTGTGGGTGGAGAGGAGGGAAAAGTGGGTGGGTGTATTTGCTGCACAGGAACATGCCTGTGTGTGTGTGGGTTTCAGCAGATCCGATCCAGATAGGCAGCTTTAAAAACTCACACTCTAATGCTATTGCACCAATTAATCCGTCTTACCATCTTAGTTGCTCTAAGTGCCGCTTCTCCGTTTCATGCACTGTTGTTCATGTACGAGAAGCCACCTTGTTTTTGATGCTTTAGCTTTGGCCACATTGACTTAAGAAGCATTTTTTTTCCCCAACACCTAATCACAAAACAAATTCCTTTAAACATATATAATTATCTACATTAATCCTGACTAACTTGCCATGATCTCTACAACAATGTGGCTGAATCCTGGAAAGTTTTCACACTTTAGAACTTTATTATTAACAAGTTGAACTTTGTTCAAGTGTTTAGTTTTTTCTTTATTTTGTCAGTTTAAAGGATCCAATACTGCATGCTGTCAGCTGTAACTGGAAAAACAAAGTGCAAGAGAGCATGGGCTCGCTACATCTTTTTTAGTTTTCTTTGGGTGTTTCCTGAGACCAAGAAAAGCATATCTAGTAAACAGACAGTTTACTGTTTGACCTCAGAAGTGCCTCCGGTTTATTTTCACAAGTAGGTTTGTGTGTTTCTGTGCCTCCACGACTGCTTTAAGCAAACCATGTGATTAGCGTAAGTGGAAATATGCCAGATGTGTTCACCCTGAAGAGGAAAACTGCAGTCTGTTTTCTTTTTCTGCTCCTTTGGTGCAGTTCCAGCTCTTGGACATTGAGGGGTGTATGTGAACCATGCAAGACTCAGAGAGTGAGCCTCGCAGAGAGACTTTCTCAGACATGACAGGCGACACCACAGACCATCTGGTGCATGGCTTACTGCAGGATTAAACGCTGTGTGTTTGTGTGAGCTTGGCATGTGCTCTGTGTTTGGGGGTTGGGAAGGTGACTGCATAAACCTTTAACCCTCAGCCCTACTGCCCCTTTTCCAGAACCCTTCGTCCCTTTTCAGAGTCGGAGAGACATAATTAAAAGCATCTGTCTGTGTGCTAAACTCTGCCCCCGACTGCTGCCCATGGAGCACACACACACACACACACACACACACACGCATACACACACAGTGGGCACCCCATAACCAGACAAAGGTATGAAGCACCTTTGTCTGGTAATGGTCCTCAGACACAGAGGCTGTGTTGAGGATCAGGATGTAAACAAACACACAGAGCCCACCATCACAGATGACACAGGCAAACATCCACAAACTCCAGATTTATATCCAGTCGGTACAAATTTAAAATGTAGGCCTCAATTACACACGCATTTTGGAGAATTTGTGGCTTTATGGGGTGTGTCTCTTTAGTTGGGGGTTTATATATTTTCAGAAGATGGCTTCCTCAGACTTTGAACCATGTAGCTTTTAGCAGTGACGGCTTAACTGGGTCACTGCCTATCTGGGTTAATGAAAACCACATGTCGGGAACATGTATTCATTTTCTATGTATGCATTTGCAAGTAAGAAAAATGACAACCCAGATAATGTAGCAAAAACAACTTTTGTGATCTGAAAAGAAAATGAGTGATCAGAAACTGGTGTTGATTTATACTAACCCTCTGATTTAGGTAGTTTTTTTCTGAATGAGGAATAGTTAGACATTTCCATGTTCACCCACTTAAGATAACTTACCATTTGTTGATGCATTTCTGACATTGTGTTTATTTTTTTTTATTTTTTTTTTTACAGAGGGTGATGAAACTGGTATCATGGACGGCCTGCTGGAGGCGCTGCAGTCAGGTGCTGCTTTCAGGAGGAAGCGAGGACCTCGACAAGCAGGTACCCACTCTCACAAAACACGGTGGTCTTTCAGCCTCCTGTTCTCTCAGACAGATGTGTTTTAGACCTACTAGGCAGAGGCACATGCCGCATCTGAGACTTATTTGCTTATTTCCCCTCATTTCACTGTGTGTGTTTGTGTCAACGCTCAGCAACAGATTTGTTTATCTTCCCCATCTCTGTTGCATGCCTCAGAGGCGGCATGGGCTGGTTTAATTCTTGGGTTGTAGTAGCAGAGCCAGTGGCATCAGATGCTGGCACAACAACAAAGTAAAGCGAGGGTGCCATGAGTGGGTGTGGGCAGCAAAAAATTCAGTGATAAAGGTGTGGCCATAGAATAGGAAAATAGAGATTTAAAACTGGGGAGAGAACCAAACAAAATGTGAGCGGAAACTAAAAGAACATCAGGGAGTAAGACATAAGCTACACATGTAATAAATGTTAAGTTTTTTTCTTTTAAAAAGTGGTGTTAGTATGCCAGATTGGAAAGTAATTGTTTCCTTATTTGATGAAACTTTACTGTTCTAAAGTTAAGAGGGGTTTTTTTTGTTAATCCTTTGGAGATTGGTAGTCATTTGTAAATTATTTTTCAGTCAAACTTCCTTCCTTACGATAAGTAAAATTAATCCCATCCTATGTTAGTAAAAGGTCTTTGAAAAACCATCCTTTAATTAAAAGTATCCATTCAGTGAAGGGGATTTCAAAAAAAAAAAAAAAAATATTGTTGTCAGCATTACAATTATTGACATCTCAAATATTAATGTACTTGAAGTATTTGTGTGTGTTTGTGTAGAAATATGAGCTAGAGACCAACTTGTCCTAGCCACTGTTTAAAAGTGAGAAGCCAGGAAAACATGCCATTCAACTAAGCCAGATCTATGTTGATTTTGCAGAGTTGAATCGGCGCTCTGCAGAGTCTGTTTGGTCCTTCTCAGGTAATTTAACTCTTTGAGTTATTTCAATAAGAGATTTGGGTCATTTTAACACTTGAAAAAGTTAAAACGACTCAATGTCTTGTTGAAATAACTCCGAAAGAGTTAAATTAATTCTGAAAAGGCCCAAATAGACTCGGCATAGTGCTGATTTACTCTGCCAAATTGGCTGTTTACTCGCAGCAATTATCCAAACATTTGTGCATTTGTGCAGCAATATGGCCTTCTGGTCAAACCACGTCAGTGAAATCAACAATGAACACACTTTGGACAACAACTTAACCTGATTGTTGTTTCAGGCAAGTTATGTGTTACCATACAAGTTAGATAATGTCCGGCGGCCTTTAACGGTAAGCAAAGGAGATGGTGTGTGTGTGTTCATTCACATGCAGTTTAGTGTGTGTTCTCAAATTGTAGAGGAGTGTGTGCAACCCAATCCGTCCCTCAATAGAAGCCAGATGTGAAGCTTTGTTACAGCACAGGGTAGCTCAAAGCCAGAGGGGGTAGACTGCTCTGCTTTTTTTTTTTTTCTTTTGATCTGAATTCTTTTAAACTTCATTCTTACTTATGCTTTCATTTTAATCTGTAAATGTGTTTACATATTGTTGTTGACTTGGCTCTTGCAGTTGTAAAACTCATGCTGTGGGTCCCGAGTTGACCTCAGTTAGGAAATATTTGAGTGCCGAAAGCTCTGCAGTAATAAACAGCGCTGTTGCATTTCTTCCAAATTCACTGAGACAAAAGTGTGGGGTGAACTGGAGGGAGAAGAGAACGGGAAGTAAAAAAAAAAAAAGAAAAAGAAACTGGGGCCCAGTCTGGGGTTCACTCAGTCACCCAAAACCCTGTTTGGTCACTTACACGCCTTTACAGGAAAAACTTGATCATTTATGTGAGAGAAAGAAACGAGTTATCCTCCCTTTATTATAGGAGGATGATCTGGAAAGTTTGCACAGTGTTACGCTGAATGTCTCCTTTTCTGCACCATCCTTTTCTTTTTTTTTTTCTTACTCTTCCCAAGTTGAGAGTTTTCTGACTCTTTTGAAGCTGGGCTGTGGTTTATTTGCAGTCTTTGTGAGAAGTTTATATTATCCTCAGCCATGTTTAAAGGTCATGTTTTTAGTTACCCATGTTGTGTTTGGAAGGCATGAGGCCAGAAAACCGCTTCATCAACATTAGAGGATGGTATTTTGTTTTTGTGTGTGTATGCAAGTTTTACTGGATGAGTTGAGTCAGAGGTCTTTATTTAGCTGAAGGAGGAGATTTATCTTGATTCTCACTCTAACACATATTTGGCGATTTTTCTTTTTTGTTTTCCTTTTTTTTTTTTTTTTTTTTTTTTTTTTTGGGGGTTTTTGTCTCCCCCTCTGGAAAATGGGGGGGGTTTTTTGGTTTTTTAAACCTTCTGAAAAA